CTCAACCCGATGGATAGCAACATCTGACAACGATTCATTGTGTTTGTGAATACATGTGTCGAAGTATGATATGCTTGCGGCTCTTTGGCTACATCTCAATGAACATCACATATTTACCTCCTAGCTTTCTTCCTTGCTGCCTACTGCTAGAAGTAGGCTCTACTTATCACAGTAAAAATCTCCTGCAAAAGAAAGAAAAATCGCAGTAAAAAGCAACGGAGATCATAAAAATAACGACAAACACACTTGCAAATATGCAACATTAGGACATATCCAACGCAGATCCTCAGACCGCACACGTCCGAACCGTGCGGTCAAAACATGTTCTGCCATCCAACGGGGTCATATATCCGTTCGTTGGCGAGTGCGGACGTCATTTTTTCCGCAAACCCGAGGGGGAGAGGGGTTTGAGGGAGTCCGGACCGCTGCCATCCACACCTCTGACAAATTGGCCCACCCAAAACACTCTCCCTCGCCGTGCGCTTTCTCGCCCGTAGCAGTCACCGCTGCATTCATGCCTGCCCAAAGCAGACGCAACACCTCTGGAGCTGGCAGTGAAGCGGCACACCGACCGACATTGCCGCCCGCTGCATGCGCCTTCCTCCGCATTGAAGCGATATCTGCCCTCCCTGCCTTCCTCCATTAAATCGGCGCGTCAGCCGAGAAACCTACTCCGACGCCCCGAGCGACATGGCATCTGCCCGCTATTTAAACATGGCCAGGCTTTGGGCAAAAGCTGCACCACAGCTCCGCTCTCCATCTCCTCTATGCACCCGCCCACTAGTAGAAAATGGGGCATCAGTCCCGGTTCGTAAGGGCCTTTAGTCCCGGTTCTTGAACCGGGACTAAAGGGTCGTGACTAATGCCTCCCTCTTTAGTCCCGGTTCAAACACGAACAGGGACTAAAGGCCGCGGCCACGTGAAGCTCCACCTTTAGTCCCGGTTGGTAACACCAACCGGGACTAAAGAAAATTTTATGATTTTTTTGAATTTTTTTATTTTCAAGTTTCTGAATTATTTTAACCTCTAATCTCTAATCACCATCCCTCATCACTGTTCAATTTATCCTCTAATCTCTAATCACCCCTCATCATTCCAAATCATCTAACTTCCCGAACGGTCACCCATCCTCCCACTCCCCCAGCCTGAGCCCGCTTAACTTTCGGGTTCTATTCTCCCTCGTTTCCAAGTCTGCACTTGTTGTTTTCCTGACAATAGTAAGATGTCAATCCTATTAACCCTCAGGAATTTTGCTTGAGCATGAAGTGACACATTTCACTGTTTGAGTTTGAAACTATTGTTTTAAAAAACAAAAATTATTTAGTAACACTAATATTTCTTGAATAATTAGTTTGACCATTGTTTGACCACAGTTTGACCAGATTTGACCAAAATACAAAATAACTAAAATAATTATTTAGTAACAATAATATTCTTGAATAATTAGTTTGACCATTGTTTGACCACGGTTTGAATTATTTTTGATTTTTTCTACTCTAGATCTTAAAAGCCCCGTAACTTTTTTTTCTGTTAGGTTTTTGAGGATTTTGAAAATGTTTAACGAGGTTCCCCTGGTTAAATTTGGATGTAACTTTTCGAGTAGATGATTTCTCATATAAAAAACTTTTTTATCCGAGTTAGTATGCAAAAGTTATGCCCATTTTACTAAATTCTAGAGAGATTTTGCAAATAAAGTCAAAATTCACATTTGCAAATTTTCCCAACAACTAGACCACATATCACATGAGAAACTTATTATTTTTTTATTTTTTTGACATTTTCATCATTTTCTTTTATTTTTTTTAAAACTGATAAGGCGATCCAAGGGGGGGGGGGGTGGAGTTTGAAAACGGGACCTTTAGTACCGGTTTGTGCCATGAACCGGTACTAATGCCTCAAACCCCATTAGTACTGGTTGGTGGCACGAACCGGGACTAAAGGTCTAACCTTTTAGTCCCGGTTGGTGCCACGGACCGGGACTAATGGCCATCGCACCCTTTAGTACCGGTTCGTGGCACCAACCGGGACTAAAAGGTCCAGACGAACCGGGACAAATGGTCCACGTGGCCCCTGGGCGCACGAACCGGGACTAATGCCCCCATTAGTCCCGGTTCTAGACTGAACCGGGACTAATGGGCTAACCCGGCCTGGACCAATACCCTCTTTTCTACTAGTGGCCATGGCCTCGAGCTCTGAAGCCCCGTGACACGACATCACCGACGAGCAAAATAAGGAGCTCCCTGGTATTGCTGCCAGACGGCTGGCCCGTTGAGCTAGCCGGATACATGCTGGCTTTCCAGCGAGCTCTCTGGATGGCTGCGACACTCACGAGCCATTCGAGGAAAAGCCGACGCCACCCCCATCGCTAGTCCAGTCGGCGTCACCATGGGCGAGGCACGAGAGGACGACACGGGCATCGTGTCAGACAAGCAATGGCACACAGAGGAGCAAGTCGATGACATAGTCATCATGGTGGACATGGACGTGCACGAGCAGGAGGCTTTGCTCATGTCCTACCGCGCCACCCATGAAATCCACCACGAGCAAATGCGGCATTGCATCTTGCGGGCAGAGAAAGAAGCCGCCTATGCGGAGATTGACGAGGCGGTGACGCAAGTTTATGGGCACAGACGACACTGCTAGCTCGTGTTGGTCGCGCCCCGCCGCCATGATGATGAAGCCGGCACGTCCGTGGGCGACATTGGCAGCGAGGATGAGTAGACCAAAGGCGGCCACCGCCGCTCGGGGTCCCAAGAAGGCCACCACGCCGTTGCGCCGGACCTCATATCTGGCGTCTTGCCCAGTTCGAGAGGCATATGCCACCATCACCATCTTCCATCGTTCTAAAACCAACCACAGATTTGGGCTTCAGAGGCGGATGTTATTCTTCCCCTCCCGCCGAAGGCATATTCTCTAGGGCTCACGGCGTACCCGTGAGCTTGTTGCTAGACATAGGGAAGATATGGGGTGGAAAACGGGCGTGAGAAGTCCGGTCATAGACTAGGTTAGAATAAGCTAGCATAGTCAGCTATATTTTAGTTCAAATATGTCTGAAATATAAATGTTTTTGTCCGGTCTAGATAAAAATTATTTGGTTTGCATGTAATTTGTCTCCTTTGGTCCCACATCAATGTTTGTGTATTGGTCCCCCTCTCCAACGGTCCGCGGACGAATACGGTGTTTGGGGGTCTGCCCTGGAGATGCCCTTACCTAGAGTAGTGTACATCTTTTTTTGGAATTTTTTGATTTATTCATCTTCAATTATGGCAGTAAACCACCTAGCGACGACTACAAGCATTAAAGCGAGCCTAAAGCGTGATGCTGTCATCGCCCCTCCCTCGCCAGTGCTGGACAATAGTTGTTGTAGTAGACAGTCGGGAAGTCGTCATGCTAAGCCCCCATATGACCAGCGCACCAGAATAGCAACCATCGTCGTTGAAGAATAGATTGGAAGGATCCAACCTGAAGACACGCGAACGTAGATGAACTATAACCAAATCCAACCAGATCCAGATCCGTTGAAGACACACCTCCACATATTCACCAATGATGCTA